TTAGCTTTCAGGCAGCCAGACAGCGCCTCCTATACTTACTGGAGCTCTTCTACTGCGAGAGACATGGGAAAGAAGCGCAAGATGATTTGGCTCAAAAGAAAGAACAGGTGGCAGAGCTGGAGGCCAAGAAGGTTATCTGCACAATTTTTGATTTCTGGAAGGACATTTGAAATCAAAAATTGAAAGGGAAGCATTTTAGAGTGAATGCGATGAACTGGTGAATGAAAAGCAGAAATTGGTCAAGAAAATACAGCGTGATACGCATAAATTAGAGAAAGAGATCAGTGATAAGGTATTTTGGTGAATTTACGGAAGTTAACATTTTTTTCTTCATTCTTTCTAACTCTGTGTTTTAGGAAAGAGAGATAGCTATCCAACGTCCTCTCTATGTACAAGTAAAACAAGAAGTACTGCATGTTAATACAAAGCTAGAAACTAGTAAGAAGACATTAAATGCTGCACAAAAACTAGCGGAGAGAAACGAAGAACAGGTGCAGGTGTTGGAAAATACTGCAAAGTGAGTGAAGTGTTATTCTTGTCATGTTAAACCTATACTTTATTCCTATTCATGAATATTTCCAGGGACTTAGAAAGGAAAAAGGCAGAATGTGAAAAAGAGCTTGAGTCGCAAAGTCAGGAACTTGATTTACATCTGAATGAGCAACAGGTCATTCCTTTCTCATTTCGAATTTTTTACATTTCTTTAAACGACATTTTCGAACTTCAAACTTGGTACTAACAAGCACGTCATGTTCATTTTTCTGATCCTACGGGAAATTTTTGAGTTTAAATGTGCCTTTTTAGATTAATGAGTACATGTTGCTGAAACGCGAGGTGGGAAAGAAGTCTGGCCTCATCGATATGCAGTTGAATTCGAAGAGACAAGAGCAAGATACCGATAAGAGGTTATATTTCATCAGTCAGTTCTTGTTAAAAAGTTTTGCAACTTTTCTCTATAGTTCCAAAGTCAATGAAGAGCGTCGAATGAAAACGTGGCAAGAAAAGATTAAGAATAAAAAGCAAGAAATAGAACGGCTGAAGAAACAGGTATGTTATTTTGACAAACTTTTTTTGGTTTACAGCTTTCATTTCGCTTTCTATGTCGTTTTAAAGATTGATTACCTTGCTGAGAATGCGGAGCAGCAGAAGGTCGTGCTGCAGGAGGAAAAAGCAAACTTGATCACAATGGAAAAGCAAGTCAAAGAAAGCAAAGAGAAACTAGAGAAGGTTCTTTTTCCATGCTTATTAACTTAGAAGGCGACTAAGATTTATGGCGTTGGCTTTTTTTCCCAAACTTAGCTACTTCTTATTGAGGTGTCTGTTGAATTGAGTGAAGTTAACAAGCAGCTCTCTGATGCGTCTGGGGACTCGGCTGAAACAGAACGAGTGCGAAGGCGTAACGAAGCCATTGAAAATTTGAAAAGAGTATTTCCAGACAAGGTATTTCAATGCACTAGTTTATATTATTCATAACAGAACTAGGAGAGTGATTTCATCTGTAAAGTTATTACATATATACCTTTTACAGTGTAGTCTTAAAAGCTAATGCCTTTTTTTTAAAGTTACTTTTTAACAGTATCTCGTCTTTGAGTTTTTTTTTTAATTTTCATTATCGCTCAGCCTATCACACTTTATCATATTGATTGTTAGTACATCTAGAATAAGTATGCTCTGAGCCTTTATTTATTTATTTTTCTATTTCACCTCGGAAGGACTTATGTGACAGTTAACATGTGACATGTTTCATCGACAAAAACGGCAGTACAGATGCAAATAACAACACAGTGCAACGCAGTAACCAAGAACTATAACGTTGAAGGCAGATAGTTCCTCAAAATACTTTGAATGATGAAAGCTGGTCGGAGTACTTATAATATTTTTCCAAATCATGAGGTAAAATGCTGCCGATAAAAAGATTATCAACGTTCTTTTTTTGAAGATTAGCAGCAGTTTTTTAACTTCCATCTCTGGTTTTTCTAAGATCTAGTCCCTAGAAGACGGATGGGATGAGTTGGCCACATGCGAAGTTTTCTACTTTGATACTTTCCTCATAATTTGCTGTTCACTAGTGTGGGTAGCCTATGATTTTCTACGAGGTGTTTTCAGATCCATGGACGTCTTGTTGACCTCTGCCAGCCAAGCCACAAGCGATTCAACCTAGCT